TTTTTTTTTTTTTTTTTTTTTAATTTTTATTGAATCAAAATTGATTATACATATTTTTGGGGTTCAACATTGAGATATGTTGATCAAATCAATATTACTAGCATATGTATTGTTACAAATCATATTTATTCTTTATGCCCCTTGTCCAGTCTCTCCCCGTTACTCCCCTCTAATCACCCTAGATTTCTTATCTCCCTCTGAAAGAATAATGGTTACTCTCTTGGGGCCGGCCCGGTGGCGCACCCCGCTTGGGAGCATGGTGGCGCTCCCGCCGAGGGTTCGGATCCCACATACAGACCGGTTCCCGCTCACTGGCTGAGCCTGAGAGGCGTGATCAGGTCCCCCAATACTATCATACCACAGATGACTCTTCTGTCACTCTGAAATGGGCTCTGTGGAGAGTGACATCCTTCTCCTTTATCTCTGCTGGTGACTCTCCTTGTGTCAACGCACTCCAGTGGCTGGCGGACCATTTGCATGGTAGTTGTGGTGTCTAACTGCCTTGTGGCAGCCATGGTTATCATGATGGCTGTGGTGGGCCACCCACATGGAGGAGATGTTTTTGGCATGCTCCTTGGTGCTGCCAGTGTGCCTGGTTGTGGAGAGTGTCCGATCCCCTTCTCCATGCCTCAGGCCCCTGGGTGGGGCCCTGTGGTGCTGTCACAGTGTGCCTGGTTGTGGGAAGGGGGTCCAGTCCCCAGATCCACTCCTCGGGTTCCTGGGCAGGGCCCCAAGGTGCTGGTGGTGTGAGTGGTTCTGGGTGGGGGTCTGGCCCCTGACTCCATGCCTCATGTCCCCTGGTGGGCCCCAAAGCATTGGTGGTGTGCCTGGGCCGGGATTAATTTTTTGTCTTTTGCTTACTTCTAACAGGGGGGAACTTCCTGTGGGAACCAGTACTTGAGTATTGTGGTTGAGCTAAATTGCTGCTTTGCTGCTGTTTCCATAGGGAAGGCTTTTTGTGCAGCTCAGGGTTTAATGGTTGACCTTATAGGTACTTCCGGCTCTCCAGATACTCGGTGCACCTGGGTTGTGTTAGAAACTCTGATCTGGGCCTGAGTTTTTTCATCATACTGCACCCCATGCAATTCTGCTTTCTCGACCAGTCTCCTCTGAGTGGTCCTGTGCTGATTGGGGGGTGGATTGGCTGTTCGCGCATAAAAT